ATATAATTTAAGATTAAAAAGGCCTTCGAATAAGTGATCCTACTCCAAAACCACAACCAAACAAGGAACATGTAGTGAAGCGTAGATCACAAATTCTAAGTTTATAAAATCTCAATTATATAAAACCTTGGGAGTATACATTGCAAGATTATAGACTTATCCGTAAGGGTCTTTTAAGTTATCACATAAGTTATTTATATAGAGCCTAAAATACTCTTATAGTATTTTAATGTAATGTACTTAGTATGTTTCAGACTTCTTATCTTGTTATAGTATCATAGAGTACTCCTATAGTATTCTAACTCTATGTACTTGATTTAGAATTCTCTTAGCGTTAGGTAAGTTTTAACACCGTTGCAACACCAGATCACTCCCAAGCACATGTCGGTTTCATCTCAAACGAATATAGTTGATCAGGCTATATTGATCCCAGATACGATTACATAACTGCCCAAGTTTGACCGCAATATTCATCCTTTAAATACTTCTATTCTGTTCTTCTTGTGATACTTGTTCAAGTATGTATACATGTATAAGCAAGTAGGTATATTTTTATAACTTATCGTTATATTCTTAAAATATAATATTATCCAAAACACTTAATCCCCATTTTATTTATAGTTGTATATCTTTTATCGGTTGGTATACTTAGTTCACTATAAGCAATGCTCTAATACCAATCTGTCACACCCGAAAACCGGAACGGCGGAAACGTTCGGAGGTGGAGGACATCATGTTTAGTATCAAAAGACATGCATCATTGTAATCAAAGTAATAAACACCCATTTTGTTAGAAAGAAAGTGTTTCCAAAGTGTGTGTTCAAAAAACATAGAATACATAAGCAAATAACAAAACAAGACTTGAAGCTATACTGCTCCATCTTCTGTTCCCAGTGCGAGTACCTGTCTACTAGTTCCTGAGAATGCAAGTTATTTGAAAGAGTTTATCAGCAATTAAGCTGGTGAGTTCATAAGATTTTAGTGATGTAAGTATGTTGTAGAAAGCTTAGTAAGTTGTAAGTTATGATTTAGAAAAGTTCGCTTGTTCCTACAGAAAATCCTATATTTCCTGCTTTGATGAAAGATAAGTAAAAATGACTCTACAATCCTTTCTATGAGTACTAACTATATACAAGTTATATAAAACTCAGAGTAAACAAGCAATCAATTGTGTGTATCTACCCTAAGCGCACAACCAAACAAGGAACAGGAAATGGGGCGGACGAGACACGTTCCATTGGTTGTTAGATCCTTATTATATATAACCCTGGTGTATTCACTTGGTACTCATGTAGTTAGCTGTAATAGTTCCTTTATATTTGATGAAAAGATCCTTTAAGAAAACCTTTATTTCTTATAATAAAATAGTAACCCTAATGGTTCCTTCTATAGTCACTTAGTTTATACTAGCTCTATATAATCTAATATCGAATAGATAGTTAGTTGTGTGAATCTGCCCTAAGCCCACAACCAAACAAGGAACATGAAATGAGGCACAAGGCACACATCTAACTATCTATCGGGTATTAATTATATATAACCCAAATGTATAAACTAAGGTATTATATAATTAATCACCTAAGGTTCTTTAAGTTATATTGGTTTAATAAAATGGATTAAACCCTTTACTAGTAAGTTTCTAGTTTTGTATACCAAAAGTTCTGATTTGGAAAGTATGTTTTCTACTAGAAAATTGTGCATTGATTTAGTGTCCTATGACCTGACCCATACTTGATACCCCTTATTATGAATTAATGTATACGGAACATATATATAACTAAGATCGGATGGATAATAGGCTGGGTAAATCCGCTCTAAGCCCATAACCAAACAAGGAATAGGAAATGAAGCGGAAAGCACACATCTTATTACCTGTCGGATCCTATTATTATATATTCCTTGATGTTTACATTAAGGAATCATAAGGTTAGCATTATGGTCCCTTTCTACTGAATGTACTAGACTCGACTGTTCTGATCATCGTTTGTAAAATGTAAGTTTTCCCTAGTTTATAACTATTTTCACTCAAAAATAGTTTGCATTAACTTTCAAGTGGAACTGTCACTTTATGAAAGTAATGGGAAAATGATAGTACTCAATTTTCTTTTGAATTGACAACCCGGCGTACTGATTTCCTTAAAACATGTTTGTTTTATTAAGGACATAATGTGAAGGCTAGTACCCGTAAAATACGCACTCCCTGTCATGAGATTCTGGGAACCAAACATGACTTCCACAACCCAGATCCTAGGTTTTGTAATCCACATTACAGATATGTGATCATGTATACCCAATATAACTATCACCTTTTGTTTAGAACAATAAGTTAGTGATTCATTGGTATAATTAGATCATGTAGTAGTGCCATGCTATAGCAAGTTAGTATGTTCGTTCTGTTATAGTATCTTAGTATGTTCTTCCTCTAAATTATACCCCTTATAGTTTACTAGTATGTCTACTTGAACTGTTATGGAAAAGACTTATTTATCTACTAAGTTATGGTTGTGCTTTAAAAACAGATTTTTGTTAAACTATAAAGCAACATAACTTTAAAAGTGTTTTGAAATGTAAAATCATGGCCATAAACTCTCTTTGATGATGAGTTTTATGAAGTTTTAAGGCTATGATCTAGTGTTTCAACTATATAACAAGCAAAGGAGACAGTACTTATGATATAGAGGCTTGAAATGGTGATTAAGGTCCTAGAAAACTAGTATGTGTTCTTTGTGATCTTGGTGTTTCATGTAGATCTAGGAAAATATGATTTCCATGGATGAAATCATGAGATGATACTAGATTAAGAGATGTATCAATAAATCAAAGGAAGAAGACTTACGTTTTAGAAGATCTAGGATGAAAAGTTGGATGATACTTGAGAGAAAACTCGAGTCCTTGGGGTCGGAATGTAAGAAATGGCTAGAAATGATCAAGAGCCATATATATGGACCAGAGTTTATGGCCAGGGTGTAAACTCTATGTGTTTACGGCCAGGGTGTAAACTCTATATGTTTACGGCCAAGGTGTAAACTCATGGACATTGTGGCCGTGAACTCCTTTGGATGAGGTTAAGGCTTGATTTCTTGTACCGTGGCTTTAGAAGGTACTTACTAACACTTATTCCTTAAGTGTACTTGGCTAAAACTCCTTAGAATGACCTTTAACAAGGCTAGAAATCATTAGAAATGTGTTTCACACTTAGTTGAGTTGACTGACTGAGCTTTCAAAGCAAAACTTTTCAGGTTGTCACATCATCCCCCCGTTAGATGGAATTTCATCCTGAAATTAGCTTTCTTACAGTACTATTGGGGTTGCGCTCCTGTTATTTGTAGAATACCCACTCGTAGAACTGGCAATTCTGCCTTAGTGTTCATGATATGACTCATACTTGGTCCATCTATCATTACCCCATGTATACAAGTCGTATATAATTAGGATTATTAAGACGGTCGGATGTGCGACTCTGCCCCAGGTCCACATCCAAACAAGGAACAGGAGATAGGGCGGAAACACACATACTAAATCTGCATCATCATAATCATATACCACCCTCGCGTATACAGTGAACACTGATAGGTGAGCTGTATTCGTCCTTAGCCTTTGTGCTCGAACTTGGTCTCCTGGACGAGTGGTATTTCGGAAAGGTCTGTTGAACATACGGTGACAAGGCTTCGAAGGACAATGTACCCTTTGCACGAGTACTTCGAGGTTTTAGAATTATGAAAGATAAACTGAGGTTTAGGTCGAACTATCAATACGAATGACGTAGGTTTCGTAGACTTGATGGTCGAGGCGATAGAAACATATGAACTTAGTCTGGTGAGGACCACGCTAATTCATGACGAATGATAGTAACAGACTCTTTACTGAACAATTTTTTTGGCCGATTTGAAAGAATCGCATGTTATACTTTGTTTACAATAACAATCTTAAAGGTATGAATCATAATCCTTCTTATGTCTTTTTGATTATTATCCATATATCTAGGGTGTATACTTTGCTGTTCATTATTGTGTGTTCAATTAGAGAAAACATAGATTTTTCAGTTAAGGTTGCATGCACATATAGGATTGTTTGCTTTGCTCAAAACCCATCATAAGTATATAAAACTTGTATCATTCATTTTATCTATCTCTATAGATTTTACATTCCAAGAATGTATCTTGTTCAACCTAAGTCTATCATTTTCGAAACACATTCCAAGTCAAGGTGAAAAAGTCTGGCATTCTCAGAATGTAATTTCTTATGAATAATTATTTTTCATTCATACAATATTATGAATGTCACTATGCTCCCACTATTTCTTAGTAAACACACATTCCATTCATTCTGACATAAAAGCATACCTTGTGGTTTCATATTAAAATGATGGTTGCAACGTGGAGATGTTTGCTATATATCCACAAGTGGATCTCAAGATTTACACATTTTGTATGGATAACATGGATTGAGAAAACCTCCTGGCTAATCTATATAGATATCTTCTAGTAGATGTCTATAAAAAAAGGTCTTTCTTGAAATCTATTTTGCTATATGTCATATTGAGAATATGAATTTACAATGTTCTTGTTGATCTAATGATAGTTACTTGTGAAAAAGGTTTGATCATAGTCAATGTCATGAGTATGAGAAAATCCTTTTGTAATAAGTCTTGCTTTAAATGTGTCACCATTTTGTTTAAAGCCTTTTCTGAAAGGGTCACTGGAAGTGATTGCGTGAAAAAGCTTTTTATGGGTCTAATGTATGTTCTTTATACCGAAGAAAACGTTGATTATGGTTCCATCCTGTGGGCTCAAGTTATCCAGTGCACTCACTCGACTACTCGTCACAGTGAGATCTCCTATGCGAGATTCCGGACAGTCATTGTTCACAGATAGATTCAGTAACTCAAGATTTCAGTGATTTCTGATGCACTAATGGCTCTTATTGCAACACTTCATACTACCAGCATCATTATGGCCGATCCTTCAAAATTTTCCTTCATTGGATCAATATCGGAGGCAATGTTTTGTGATGTGCCTGCCACCAGAAAAATCCTTGAGAGTGATCGCACTCTTACTCCCTCAGGATTTAGCCCAATGACTGTTGAATTCCAAGCAATCTTGGTTGTGGTGGAAAAAGGCAAGAAAGGGGGAAGAGGGTCGAAGAAAGCTACCAAGAAGGACGCTGCTAAAGAAGGATCATCAGAGGGTGCGAAAACTCCATCGAAAAAGCGAAAGGCTCCTGTTGCTTCTACTGATGCACCAAAGAGAAGAAAGCAAAATGCTAAAAGAAGAAAATATCCCATTTCTTCTCCATCCCAAAGTGAAGGCGAACGTTCTGAATCCGACTCTGAGTCGGAGATTCACATTGAGGAGAATCATCCAGTTTGCACTGAAGATCAAGGGCCAGTTCGTAATGAGGAGGATAAACACGTTCACAACGAACCTGCTATTCTCACCAAAGTGCCATCCCAGAATCATGAGGTAACTCCACCACTCAATGATTATGTTCCTTCTCCTCCTCCCTCACCAAAAATAACCACCTCTACACCAATTACTATTGCATCTTGTCATCCACCTGTTTCATCTCAACCACCGACATCTATTACAGTTTTAGTCCCTATCTTCACAGAGTCCACCATTCCACCCAAAGCATCTACTGCACCTATAAGTTCAATTAACATATCTGATATGGGGGCTAACACTTCAGGGTTTTCAAGACATGTTACTCCATCCATCTCTCTCATTCACACCGATGACCTATACATGATTTTTGGAGATGATGAAGACGATATGGGCAGATTCACTTACAGTCCTTTTCAATTCAGGATTGATAGTGAAGATGAAGCCTCTGCTACGAAAGGGGAACTTAAGTCTCATCACGATAAGATCGACCAACTGATTCTCGCATCCAAGGCTTCTTCTTCTGAAACTTACTCCAAAGAAGCTGTGGAGTCCATTCTTGAGCGGGTCATAAAGGAACATGCAACAAATGCCTCTACTATGACCAAGGTAGTTTCTGACTCCGTTGATGTCTGAAATCCACGACCAAAAAAGTCAATAAACTAATTGCTGACATCATAGAATTTTTGGAAGATTACAAGAATACCTACGACTCCAGCACCTTCACTGCGAACAAGGCCATTCAGAATGTTAGTGCCATTTTTAAAGCAGAAAGGGAAAACTTTGTTGAACTTCGCAAGGAGTTTCAATCTGATAATCAAGCATTCCAGTCTTCCACTGATGCGAAGATCTCAAAGCTTCAGGAGGAACTGGCATTGGAGAGAAAAATAATGGATGCTCTTGCCATCAAAGAAGAAAAATGTAAAGTGTTGGAAACAAAACTTTGCTACACTAAGAAGCAGGTCGATGATTTCCTATCGGAGAAGGCTGTCACTAGAAGTTGTATCTCCGACATTACTGGATTGCTCTCTGATATCATTAAGACTTGTGATCCCATGATCTCCATCACTGTAAAGAAGCATCTAGCTGTGAAGCTACACCCGATGTTCGCTATGTTACACCGTTTGGAAGGTGTTAGGAAACCGGTGTTGTTTTTGCAACAAGGGGGAGAAGGTGGCTCCAAAGTTCAATCGAATGAACCCCCAAAGCTCCAGTCAATCCTCTTGTCATCAAGAAAGAACCCAAGTGTAAAGAAAAGCTATTTAATGATGAACCCATTATTGATGATGAAGGAGACGAAGAGCCTGATGAAGCTGAGCTTAAAAGGCGGAAGACTTGTGAGGCAGAGTTGGACGAAAATGCTCACATCGTCAGAAAGGCATCATAAAAGGAAAAGGATGATAAAAAAGCTCAGGCCACAATCAAACGCCGAATGTTGCTATTCCCCAAGTGGACCCTAAAGTGAATTCAGAATGAGGCTGTCGATATGCCGAGCCAATGTTGGTTGGATCCAGTTGGATCCTTTGAAGTTCAATATTCTCAGGATTCGCCGTTGGACCTTCTACTTACTCCAAAGGCCTTCAGGTTTCGTGACTTCGTGAGGGTTGCTGATGAACCTCTCACAGATAGCAAGGCTGATCAGATGATGTTTGCCTTTTACTTGAAGCACATGAAGCCTCAACACGAGACTTAAAGTATTCACAAGATTGTCGCTATGAAAGTCACTGGGCTGATCGAGACCAAAAGCTTCCCTAATGCAAAGTTTAAAGTTGTGAGAGGATCAGCATGTCAAGCCTACGAATTCACACTCGCAGACCTGCACTGGCTGAACCCTCGTGACTGGATAGTGCTATACAACATGTTGCTAAGAGAAAATGAGAAGTACAAACCTGTGATGATCCATCTCCAACTTATGATCAAGTTATACTTTCAGGAGGTTGGAACGATGGATGTGGATATTGCCATAGTTTTGAGGATGAAACTAAGTGTTGTTCCTAAGGAAGCTCCGAATAACTTCGAGAAGCTCAAACCAGGAAATTTTTACAAGGGAGGATGGTTTGTAGTGTACATGTCTAGAGATTGTCCCTGAGCAGAACAATAGAAGCTATATTTTCATTTTGAAGACAAACACCTATATACTACTACTTGTCTGGAGTTTATTTTGGAGCTGGTTACGAAGTTCAAGGGTAACCACAAGGATTACTTGAAATGTTTCTCTGATGCGATCACGTGGTATATCCAGGTTCGCAAGCTGCTACTGAGCTTCATTCCAAAGATCTACGAAGTCCATAAGCGAATCAAGAACTGAAGGGCTATGATCTCAAATGTCACAAAGGGGGAGATTATTGAATATTAATTTGTTGGGCTTGGAAGATTGTGTCTTTTGGGCTCGTTTGTTTATAATGTTTTGTACTACGCTTTGGGCCTGTCCAACCGTGTGTCTTTTATGCTTTGTATATAAGCTTATGCTTGCATGCATATTAGGTTAAGGTTTTAGAGATCTGAGAATACGATATTTTCCAGACGACTAAAGGTTTCTTTGATCATACTTGTAACCTTCCAATCCTCTACAGTTGATGTTCTTAATCGAGCTCTTCTGAGGATTTTGTTTTAATCATTCGACACGTTTGATTCATTCTTGTTCTATAATTTTACTGTGTTTATATCGTCATTGTTTTCATAACTTGTTCAAGATCTAATCGATCTTCATAGATTAAAAGAATCTTTAATCTCATCAATTGGTATCAGAGCAGGAGGCTGTGTAATTGATACACATCTTTTCTGTGAAAAAGATTTTCATTAGGGTTTTTCCGCAATCATCAATATTTATTGAGCCGTCATCTCTTTATTGACGTATCTTGATATTTATTATTTTGCCCTAATCTGCTTTATTACAAGTCTGATCTTTGAACAGGTTTTTACGATCATAATGGACGCGACACAATCAAACGTTATTAATATTTCAAACAGCATTGGTTCGACGACAAGGATTCCGATCTTATACACCAACGATTATGAAGTATGGGCACATCATTTCGAAGACTACGTTATTGGGTCGGAGGAAAATGGGTATTTGATTTGGGAAGCCATCACAAACGGACCGTTCTCTCATTCTGCAACGTCCAGAATCATTAAAACTCAAAAAGAATACAATGATCTGCTCAAGGACGTGAAAGACATTGCACAAGATGAAAAGGACAAGTTCCAATGCAATATCAAAGCACTAAGATTGATCCGGTTCGCCCTTCAGTCCGATACATTCAGATTGGTTAGCTCATGCACGACGGCGAAGGATGTTTGGGACAGACTTCGTGAACTGTACTCTACAGACGAAGATCTCGAACATTCTATTCAAACTCTGCTTCTATCTGAGTTTGGTGAATTCAGACAAGGGGCTGAAGAATCTGTGACCCAGACGTTCGATCGCTTCAATCATCTTCTCAGCAAGATGATCAAACATGATATCGAAAGGAAGCTCATCGAACAGAAGGTTACATTCCTGAATGGTCTAAGGTCTGAGTGGAGAGCAGTAGTTTCCACGGTTAAAGCCCATGAGCAATTTAAATCATACTCTTTGGCGAAACTGGTGGGAATTCTCAAGTCTCAAGAGAAAAACGTGGTGCAAGAGAAGAATGTCGTTTCCGGTCTCGGTTCGTTGGCTCTCTTGTCAAAAAGTAAAGCCGTTATGGAGGATGAAGACCTCAGCCTGGAAGAATATGATCTCACATCAGAAGATTATGCCTTGATGGTATCCAATCCCAAAAGGTTCATAAAGAAGAAATTTCCCAGCAACAAAAACCGAAACTGGCAGGGAAGTTACAGCTCTGAAAAGGTGGTTAATGAACCGAAAGTTGAGGAGCACAAGAAGGAACCGAAGGTTGACGGCGACTCTGGAGTGAGCTGTTTCTACTGTGGTGGGAAAAATCATTATGCTAAGGACTGTGTCCTCAAGAAAATGGCTGAGAAAGATGATGGGAACGATGAGGAAGCTGTGTTGCAGAAAAGGCTAGATGAGTTAAGAAAGAAGAAGTCTGCTGCTAACCCGCCTAGTAATGCTCTTATTGTGCAGGGTTCTGTTCCAGGTGATGAGTTCGGTAGCACGGAAGTTTGGTCTACCGACTCAGAAGACGAGGAAGTGAGGCAGCCTACTCATGGAAAGGCGTTCGTGTCTAAGGAAGAAGGCAGTGGTGGTAAATGCCTTATGGTTTCTGACGTATCTCAATTGAGGGGATACAACACCGATGGAGGCAATGATGGACAGAATGCAAAGGAGGACATGTGCTTCACAGCCAAACCACTCAGCCAGCAGTTCAATGAGCTGATGAACTGATAAAGAAGGTACAATCTGTTTTTATTTCATGTAAAGTACCATCATCCTCTTATGAGAAAGAACTAAAAAGTGTCAATACAAGAATATCTCATCTAGATAGTAGCTTAACTCAAACTCGGGTCACAAATTCTAACCTAACTGATCAATTGAGCAGGGCAGCGTCAAGAGTGAGGAGCGGAGAATGTGGATAGAGTTGAAGGAATCAGAATTAGTCAAAGTTAAAGATGAAAATTTATTTGCAAAGAGACAATTTGAAATTGTTAAAACAACGAAATGTTTTTTGTTTAATTGCTAAACGTCTGTATTCTAATATTACTCAGCTTCACTTGGATTGTGAAATAGGCCAAAGGATTCACCGCATGATCTTGCCCTTCCTAGAATTTAAGGAAGATGAAATCGATGCCGAAGCCTATAATTGTGAAAGTGTGATATCGTCTGATGACATAAATCCCACCTACATGTATGGACTGGACAAAATTGAGTCCTTCATTAAATCTAAAGACCACAAGCTCATGCTTAAAAATCTTTTGGATGAAAATGACAGACTTAAACTGAGGACCGAAACCATGCAAAAATTTGACTCTTTAAACGCCAAGTAAGCTCAGAAAACAAAATTGATGTTGAAAATGCATCTGAGCTTAACGAGGACGACAATATGAGTGAAATTTCTGTAGAGGACACGGTTGACTGCTCAGAATTTATTAAAACCGAGCCAGAAAATCACAAGAATCTATTTCTGAAAATTCTGTAGAGTTCGCTCGGTTGTCCCATCAAAAGTCCCCGAAATTAGTTGAGAAAGCTGTTGTGTATCAAAAGGTCAGGACTACTCCAAATCAAGTATACAAATCAAACAGCTGAACTTGCAGCCATTGTAAACGAAGACAATGCTGATGGCTGTGATGAATACTTCTGGGAAGCTCCTATTGATAATGCAGACGAAACCATTGGTTTATCTGAAAGAACTTCCTGGAAGAGCAAAGGAAGATACATACCCGAACCATTGAATAAGCCAAATAACTTCAGTGAGCCGAGCACTAGTGGTACAAAAGATACTCCTCAGAAGAATGTTCACTCACCAAAAGAAGACATTCCTTCGGCTCTTCAGCTCAAAGTAATTCTACCGCAGTTCAAATGGAACCGGTCAAGGAGTCAGCAAAAACGAAAGCAAATGTTCATCAACCTTCTCAGATGCGGAATAGGAAGATAGAAAGGAATAATAGATACAGGAAGAACCTTTCTGAAAGGAAACAATTCTGGCGTTCCCAGAATGCATACTTCACTCATCAAGACAAGAATCTAAAGTATGAAAACATTCCTGCAGAAAAGCTTGAAAGTCCAAAAACCGAAAGCCGAGGTTCGGTTCACAAGAAGATATCAACCGAAAGTCAAGGTTCGGTTCACAAAAAGATAACAACCGAAAGCAGAAGTTCGGTTCTGAAAAGGATATCAACCAGAACCAAAGGTTCGGTTCCAAAGGTGGCTCCAACCGAACGCAAAGGTTCGGTTCTGAAGACAAAAGTACAAAACTCTAAGGTCGGTCCCTCCAATGATCAAAAACAAAGGGTCACCTAGAGTCTCCTTCTAAGTCTAATTCTTCTCATTCTTCTAATTCTTCTTCACCCTCTGTTTCATATCGATCTCGTTCTAAATCTCATTCATCAACTGAGCAAAAGTGGAAGCAGAAGATCAATAAATCCACACCAGAGACCGAATCTAACTCTACTAATCTTAACAAAATAAAAGTTTACACCATTAAAAGGAAAGATAAAACAACTCTCGTAAAAAGAACTTATCTTGTTGATATCTCTCTCATGCTCCTGTTTCAATGCAAAGCTCACGTGGACCCAAGAAACTTTGGGTTCCTAAATCTGTCTAAATTTTGCAGGTTATAAGTGACGAGCAGTTCGACGAAGAATGGTACATTGATAGTGGCTGCTCACGTCACATGACAGGGAGGAAAGAGGAGCTTAGGGAGTACAGATCGCTTGCAAATGGTGGCAACGTCAAGTTCGGAAACAATTCTTTCGGCACCATAAAGGGATACGGGATGATAACCA